GATAGGACAGAAAGTGACTTCTATACTTTTAAAATTTATGCAAAACTTAGGAGGTCTTTAGACCGAGCTAACTATACTATTACTATAGATCTGCGGCGACCAGTAATTTTTTTAATTGCTTTTTTAGAAATAAAAAATAACGCAAAAAATAAAATGGGATCATTGTCCCCATGGAATAACTGATTTGTCCCATGGAGACTAATGTCCCGTGATTTAAAAAAGTTTTAATTTTTATAAAAATAAAAAATCTACTCATTTCTTTTATCCTAACCCATTTTTACTAATGCAAGTACCCTTCACCTTTTCCAAAAAGTTCCAGAGGCTTCAACATCTACTTTGCTTCAAATCGAAATGGCTGATTGTGTTTCTCAAGATACTTTAATATCATTTGAAATTCAAGTTAAACTTAATTTTTATCATCAAGAAGCTCTATTAAACAAAAAATCAACATCTTGCTACTATGAATATTTTAACGCACGTCATAGAACCATCAAGTATGCCCGAATTTTCTTTGAATGATATTCAAAAGAAATTTTCTATTTTTAATTGTCATTTTAATATTGTGTTTTTTTAAATCTTAATAATAATTAATAATTTATATATATGGCAGCAATTCTTTGTAGCATGGACAATAAAGTGAAATAAATTATATTTCCACAGTTTTTCAAAATATCACTATGAAGTTGATTTATGAACCAATTTATTCTTTGCGTTTATTATCACTTTTATATATGAAAGTAGATGAAATTTATATAAATCTTGGTTAAAAGTATTAATTAAATTGATATTTGTTTGTAATGAATAAAAATCATTTTGCCATTAATTATAATATTTCTATATTCTTTAGAATCCTACACACTTTCCTTAAACTCTGACACAAACTAACTCCCCATATTCAGTTCATGAAACCAAGAACTGACTTATGTAATACTTGTCATAAATTTAGAAATGATTTACATTCTTGTTTGAGCCAAATAGAAGAAGAAGAACTAAAAAAAATTTGCCCCAGCATAAAAATCATGCTAAAAGGGAAAGGAAATATTACAACCAAAATATCAAGTTAGTTAAAAAACACAGAGAAGTAGTTGAAAAGAACTACATACTAAATAATTTATTGTTTAAATTTAATATAAAATCTTACTACAAATCTCCTCTTATCATTATGTTTATATCAATGATATAAAGTGATACATTTATTGTTGAAGACAGCATCTATTTAGATTGAAGATAATGATATTTCATTCTCCCCCAAGTTCTCACTAGTCGGTACTTTTGTAAGGTTGAATTTGGATTTTTGATGATTACTTACACATTTAATACATTTGCATTATGAATTTTTTTTTACATGAAGAACAGAAAGGATGATTAAAACAATTAAAACAAAATCGACATCACAATATAATATAATATCGATAGAACATATTCAACAAAAGTCACCTGAAATAAATATAATAAATAGCTGCAGATTTATAATTACATCCTTTCACAATTTACTACTACAAAGTCATTCAAATCTTCAATAATCACTTCCATATTTAATATATTTGTATGAAATCTCATATATGGGTAAGCTTGATGAATGGTTTGGGCATGGTGATCAGACCTATCAAAAGATCAAAACACGTGATTTTACAAAAATAAAAGAATTGTAAACTCAATAAATGGGTCCACTCAATCATTTAATGCCGACTTATCAAAAATCATCTTTATTATTCACTTTTACAAGTATTCAAATTGTAAGTTTATTTTTATTTTTTTCTAAATCTTCAAATTTATAAATAACATTTGATTCACATGATGGTTCTTCTTTGCAAAGGACCTTTTATTAAGTTTATTAAATCTGTAAACAATTTCCCTTTGTATGTGTAATTTTTTAAATAAATAAATAAAATAAAAATATTGATATAATAATAATGTGATTGGCTAATGTTGATGCTCTGAACGAATATATAGATACCTTGTGTTTGAATGTAACATGTAAAGCCAAATCATACATAGAAAGCCATTTTGGTACTATGTGACTCGACTCTTGAATTTGAATGCAATGTAAAAAGCAAAACCAATGTTTTTTGCATTTTTGAATGTTGTTAGCAGGCAGATTTATATGTTTTGTGATAATTATTAGACTACTCAATCATCCGGCCATGAAATAGTCTATTTTATTAAAAATCGCTAATTTTGATGTTCCGAACTAAAGTTGTTTCACGAAATGTTACCATGTCAAATTCGCTGCCATTAAGTCAAAAATGATTCACACAAAAAAACCAATCCCAAAATCTTATTTTTCTTGCATGTCTTGACCTCTCCTTTGTTTCATGAATTGTTTCCAAGGATCTAAGTTTTCTTTTGCTGAATACAAAAATTCAATTCCCACACACTCATTTACTAACTAAACTTGAACATTTCTTGATAACATGATACATGATCAGTTTAGATAAAATCATGTTTCAAGGTCAACTAATTTTAATGTATAATTATTGGCTTTATAAACAATTATGGAGGTTTTTATAATATCAATATTGATTGATTAAGTTACTTTGCAATAATAAACCCACCTTTATTTTTATCTTTATCAACAAAAATTTCGTTAAGGATAACTTCTGATCTTCACTTGAAAAAACATAACTCCAGGTCCTTGCAGAGAAAAGTGATAGATAATTAACATTCTAATAAAATAAAACTCTGTGTTATAATCATTATTTTCATTAATAAAATTAATCGTTAATAAAACTTTTAAAAATAAAAACATTGTCTTTATTTTCTTGATAAAAGCAACAAGTGTAGTTAGTGCCTTGGTAAAAGGTAACAATTGTGGGTCTTTGGTAAAAAGCCAT